TCAACTACAGGCTATGGTCTTAATATAGATAGATATATAGGTATTATGAGATCTTGATGTTTCTTTTCTTTCTAAAATAATTTATGCTATTAGGACCTTAATACAAAATCCAAAGATAATAACATTGCTCAAAAAAATTTTTCTACTCAAGCTGAGTCCACCCTGTTTGTTCCATGTTTGCTTACTACAATCTTGGAGCATTATAACAGCTGAAATTTTAGCTGATTTCTTGTGTGCACTCTTTTTCTAGGTCCACATCGTAATCATTATTTCTTGCAAATGCTGGCTCAAATTGGACGAGGCCATTATGATTGGGCTTATGATGCAGGTATCTTCTTCTTCTTCTTCTTCTTCTTCTTCTTCTTCTTCTTCTTCTTCTTCTTCCTTTGGCCATTCAGGCAGACAAATGCTATTTTCTGTTTTTACTGAAGGAAAAACGTCATTGCAGTTTCTTCAACCTCTCCTGGAAATTATTATAGTGGTATAAATGAGATGATGAATTGTTTTTCACCACTTTTAGATCATATAGTACTTTTTGTTGTAGTTTAGTTGAAGGGAACATTGCATAAATAAGGTCAGCTTTTGTTCCTGACTGCCTAAAGCAAATAAAATTACAATAAAGATTACTATAACATTCATTTCTTCTTGGTTTTTTATGTGAGCAGACTCAATTGTCTCTCAAATAAAGAGGCTATTTAAGAAGGTTTCTTCAATCATTCTGGCTAATATCACCATACACATGGATGGAATTGAGGTACATTTCTTACAAGAACTAATTCTGTCTCACCTTCATATTGCTGCGTTAGTGACATGTTCTGTTGCTCTCCATCGCCGTCCTTGTAGCTGTTTCCATCAGATATTCCAGACCTTTCGTTTGAAAATCCATCGCTTGTCTCTGGTAAATACAAAGGTGGCTTTCCTAATAATATTCAAGTTCGTGGCATCTTGGCAGATATGACCAATTTTGTAACTGACTTGAAAGTTCAGAATGCAAAGGATATGCTGCTGCTTGACAAGGTAATGGTTCCAATTACTGTGCTTAAAATTGATAAAGATTTGTATCTAAGCACACCAATTTGCCTTGTGGTTTGCATAGACTAAAACGCTTTGATATATATCTTAGCAGATATTTACAAGGCAACAAATTGATGCTCTCACAGCTCAAGCATGGTTCTCTGGGAATAAGAAGCTTGAGGAGAAGGTCTGCCACTGACTTTTCTTAAGCATTTTTTTAATGAAAGCTTTCTTAAGCATTTAATTTGACCTCAGTAACAAATGTGAGATTAAGTAAACTACATAAGTAAAATAATGAAACAGTTATAGCGAGAAGGGAGACTGCATGCAGCTGAGAAATTAAGACTCTGTGCTGATGATCTGGCCTTAACAGATACTCATGATTAAGCAAAATAAGGAAGCCTTATTTGATAACATCATTTCTCGTCATTCTGTTTATTATATTTTTCCCTTTAATTATAATTTCTTTCATGCAGGTTGCAACTATAAGTTTGCAAACCAGTTCTCCATCTAAGTATACCAGCGTGGTCTTTTCCGGAGCAGAATTGGCTAAAGAACACAATTGTATGGGCATCATTCGTTGTTTGGACTTGCACCATTGCTCCCCTGTTTTCGCACAAATCTGTGCTGCTCTTACTTGTTTTGAGCGCTACGAATGTACTATCCCCGATTGTTTTGAATGCTGTTATGAGTTCTGCTGTTGCTGTTGCAACTGAGGATTATGCATGCATCAGTTGAATTAGAAAATGAATGGGATGTGAAACTATGTCTAACTTTTGTACCGTAAAAATTTAGCTGATTGTGTTTATATTACTCAATGCAATACATATACCCTGTTGTAAATTTTAACATTGATAACAGAAAATAAAGTCTTCCAATTCTTCCTCTTTTTTGAGGGTTTCCTCTCCTATTTGAGGTTCTTTTGTCTCCATATTTTGGAAATCTTGGCTTGGGCTTCCTTGATGTTTTTCATCGGGTTTTACTATGGTATGAAGAGGATGGCATCACGGTGGTGAGGCTTTGTTTGGTTTTAATTAGTTGCAACACTTATTTTGACTATTAGTGGCACAATGGGAAAGGTAAAGGAGACTCAAAACTCTCTTTTGGACTAATCTAGCCTTGGCTTTCGATGATCTATGGAGAAGACTCTAACTCTACTTTAGACTAGTCCAACTCTTACTTGGCATGGCATTTATTAGCTGAGAACTGTTGTTTGTGAGATAATTTCCTTTCCGAAGAAGCTAACATAGCAATGAGAATACCCGAATAACAACCGTTAATGTACTAATGATTTGATGATTTGAATGGAAAAAGTTTAGTTCTTTTTAAATAAGATTTTGAATTTAAATTTTATAAATGAATAAACATGTATTAAGAAAGTTTTTTCTCTTATAAGATCCGACATGACTTAATTTCAAATTAGTCGGGATTTAATATAGTTATTGGATATCGAAAAATTAATAAAAAAAAAAAGATAAACAACTATTAATAATTTAATATAATCTCTATGTGCAAATTATTAGGCCCATTAGAGAATCAATCAGATTATAATTAATTGACTCCACATATATAATCAAATAATATATTTGATTCTTGGATTAATCGGTAGATTATATTTAAGTTATTTTAATGCAATCAACTTATTTTCTTTATTATTTACTCTAATACCTCTATAAAGGTTACCACATGTAACTGTACACATCTCTAAGCAACCAAATGGCACAGACAGTCTGACCATTAGGCATTCCTTGATGATGTTCTCCGCAACCACAACAGGCATCTTTTCTAGTTATCACTTTTTGTTTTTTTTTTTTTTACAAAGATAATGATTAAGAGTTAAGAGTTAGAAATTAATACCTTACTCTTGGACAATATTCGACCACTGATCGGGGTGCAATTCACCGACAATCTTTTTGAATTGCAGTGGCCACCAATAAGCCACAACAAATAAATGCTTTTCTGGTTATCACTCTCTTCTCTGATTTGGTCATCACCTCCAGTTCGCAGCTTCACGTTATACCGTCGGTGACCCTCCAGCGTCTAAATGTCTTCTCATCCCTTTCTCGATGACTACAACAACTTATGGCTAATTTTTACTAGGTAAAATGTGCAAATTCCTTTCTAAATTGTGGCATTTAAACAAATTGTCAATTAAAAAAATATTAATGTAATTTACTATCTTAAATTTTTATTTGTAACAAATCATATCAAATTTAACTGACATGGTTAATTTTTTATTAAACTTTAAAAGTGATAATTTAATATAATTTAGGTAATCAATTAAATTTAAATCAATTTTCTTGAAAGTGAAAATTTAAAATAATAAATTGTGTCAACATTTTT